ACCTAAACAGGGTTGGGGTGGGATATTCAGACGGGCCCCCAGGACATGGTGGTCCGACCATGGCACTGCCGAAACAGTGATCCGGTCCACCAAAACTCCCGCTGCAAAGATCAAATCGAGCATGTGACCGGCCCGATGCGTGGGGGCCGAGATGGACTGAGAGAGTCCCAGTGCCGCCATGGACGACACTAGATCCACAGCCCGGCTGGAGGTCGCGTCCTCAGCATGGACGTTGAAGTCACCCAGGACTAACAGTCTAGGGTGCTCCAACGCCCAGCCTGATACGGCCTCCAGCAGGGATGGCAAGCTATCGGCCGGAGCGTTAGGTGGTCGGTACACTAGCCAAATAGCCAAACTCTCCTCGGCCTCCAGCAGCAAGCCGACACATTCGATGCCCGCGATCTCTACCTGCGGGAGCGCCCTGAAGGAGTAAGCCTCCCGAATGAAAAACGCCACTCCTCCCCCCCGCCCCCTAGTCCGCGATTGATGGAGGACCGAGAACCCCGGTGGAGCAAGTTGGGCGAGTGCGACCGTCTCGCCCTCCCGTACCCAGGTCTCGGTCATGCACGCCAGGTCCGCGTGCTGTTCCTGTATGAAGTCCCGAAGGACTTCAACCTTGTTGTTAATCGACCTGGCGTTGCACAACATCAATGCCGGAGGGGGGTTTCTCACCCTGGCCCCACTGCCAGTCACCCTCGGGATGGGTCGTAGGCTGGAAGGACGCCGAGCCGCTCTGTTTCTCCGCGTCCTTCCCTCTGTACTCTGCCGTGACCCACCGCCATACTTCCCTCTCCCCAAGAGCACTGGAATTGGCTGCCCCAGCATTGAATAACTGGCAGGCTCCGTAAAGACTTCAGACCGCCAGCTAATAACGCTCAGCACTAGTCAATCCTACAGCTGCAATATGAAAACAATAAAGTGCTATGCAATGTAAAAACAGGATCATAAAACCCAAATTCGGGTTACTACTCCTACAACCAATGCAACTCCAACAGTCATTCCAACGACCCCATACACGCATACACTCACATACGCACTCACATTTTCCGCATTCCCATTCTCCTGGCTTGTAAATTCCTGTTTCTTCAGGGATTTTTTTTCCCTGTTCTGCTCATCTTTTGCTTCCTCTAGTGGTCGATTCGATATTACACCAGGTTATGTCCAGCATAAAAACCTGCAATTTAGCCCTACCTGGGTATAGCCCAGGCAAGTCAGGTCTTGGAAGCTAGGCAGGGCCGACCCTGGCAAGTATTTGGATGGGAGACCTCCAGAGAATACCAGGGTCAGGAAGCCAGAGGCAGGCAATCAAACCACGTCTCTGAATGTCCTCCGTGCCCCTGCAATTTAGCCCTGACCTGGATATAGCCCAGGCAAGTCAGGTCTCGGAAGCTAAGCAGGGCCGACCCTGGCAAGTATTTGGATGGGAGACCTCCAGAGAATACCAGGGTCGGGAAGCCAGAGGCAGGCAATCAAGCCACGTCTCTGGATGTCCTCCGTGCCCCAGTAGGAGTTGCCAGAGGTTGCCGTGAGTTCCAGGCACAGGTGCACATGTGTGCGCACACACACACACACAAATGCAAAAAAACCCAACAACCTGCATTTTAACTCAGCAAGGAGATATGCCGGTCATAAACCAGTGTAATATTGAACTGAGCACTAGATGGAACAAAGTACACGCAGAACAGAGAACAACCTCCCCCGGAAGAAACAGAAACCTACAAGCCAGGGAAATGAGAAAGCAGAAATGCCCATCATTTTCCAACAGAGGGTGAAACTGGTCCATCCGTCTAGGCTGAAAGAGGGAACTCGGGACCACTGTTGGCACCAGGAAGCATGAACTCCCCCTTGTGCAAACCCAGTAAAACAGGGAAAGACCCACCTTGGTTTGGTGTTAAGTGCCTCCCACTTTGTCAAGGCCCTGCCTTGGTTTAACATCAGGCTCCACACGCATCTCTGTTTGTATCCACCCTCTTCGTTGCCAGCTTTGTGCGCCTGATGTGCTAGGCAAAAGCCCACCAAAGTTTTTTATGCCACATTTAAGCTTCTTGACTGCCCCCTCCCCCCACGGATGTTCCCTTGATGTCGTCTGTTTGTCTCTTGCCATCACATCCAGGCCTTGGTCATCACCAATTCGGCAAGAAAGACGTCCACCGTTGGGGAAATCGTCAACCTGATGTCTGTGGATGCTCAGAGGTTCATGGACTTGGCTACCTACATCAACATGGTCTGGTCTGCGCCTCTCCAAGTTATCCTGGCCTTATACTTGCTGTGGCAGGTAAACCTGCAGCGTGGGGGCCATTTAACTGTTTGGCTCTCGTCGTTTGCCTATTCTGGAAGTCTGGGTTGTGGCGATGACTGCAGTGCAAGAATTTTGGCCCCCAAAATCCAGGGGAAAAGGGGCTATGGATTATTCCTGTGCTATAGTTTATTTGCCCATTTATTATGCTTTTATTCTGCTTGGTGTAGTGGTTAAGAGCAGCAGACTCTAGTCTGGAGAACTGGGTTTGATTACCCACTCCTCCTCGGCAGGCAGCCAACTGGGTGACCTTGGGCCAGTCACAGTTCTCTCAGAGCTGTTCTCTCATGAGCAGTCCTCAAAAGAGCTCTCTCAGCCCCACCTACCTCATGCATTGTCTGTTCTGGGGAGAGGAAGGGAAGGGAGATTGTCAGCTGCTCTGAGACTCCCAAGTGAAGGGTGGGGTATAAAAACCAACTCCTCTTCTCCTCCTCCGCCGCCGCCAGTGGGGAGCCACAGAAGCTTACCAACAATACAATAAAATTTAAACAAATTTACATTAAGCCAGTATAAAAACATATAATTTTGAATTGCTCAGTTTTTAAACTGTTTTCATGTGGCTGCCTTAGGGACCTATTGGGTGGAAAGGCAGCATTTTAAAAATGTCTTAGATTTGTAAACTACAGAAAACATCCTGGGCTGTTGTTGAGTTTGTTGTTAAGGGCCCCAAACCCTTCGACTGTTACCCTTCTGCTCCCCCCCCCGCCATGACCAGGCCTTAAGTACCCCCAGCTGGAGAGAGAAAACTACTCCGGCTGGGCCTGACCAGAGGGCAGCCATCTTCCCACAATCCCCCCTTCTGCTCTGGAACCTGCCGTGGTGTCTAGGTGGGGTGGCTGATTCCTGCAGTACAGGGACCTACTGTTGCCCTCCCCGGTGGCCCGCTGGGTGGGTGGGGCTCTCAGACTTGCCAGCTGCACCTTGGTCCTAAAGCGCTCCAACCTTCTCCTCCTCAGAATTTAGGCCCCTCTGTGTTGGCCGGTGTGGCCGTCATGCTGCTGCTGGTTCCCGTCAACGCTGTGATAGCGATGAAAACAAAGACTTACCAGGTAGGAACGATAGCTTCCTGTCGATGAGTTAAGAGCGATTTGGCATGGTTTCTTGCAGGGGTCATTTCCTGCAGGAGCGCACAGGAGCGGAGCTCCGGCAGTAAAGAGCCCAGGGGGGCGGGCACATACAACAAGCCCCACCCCCTGCTTCGCGCAGCCCTCAGTCAGATCAAGAAGCAGCCAGGTAAGTCGCAGAGCCACCCCCCCCCCCAGCCCCCTGGTCCAAAACAGTCCAGTGGCACCTTTAAGACCAAGTTTTATTCAGGTACAAGCTCTCCCTCCTCTGCGAGGACAGATCTGCACGTTCCCCCCCCCATAACTAGCAATCCAAAACAGTCCAGTGGCACCTTTAAGACCAAGTTTTATTCAGGTACAAGCTCTGCCTCCTCTGCGAGGACAGATCTGCATGTTCCCCCCCCCCCCCCATAGCTAGGAATCCAAAACAGTCCAGTGGAGTCTGAGCGGTGGGTGTTGCCTTCTGACACACTTCCGGTGATGTCAGGGGTGTGGCATATGCAAATAAGTTATGCTAATGAGTCATGCTAATGAGCTCCTGCACCTCTTTTTCTACGAAATGACCCCTGGTTTCTTGTCTTTATGCTGAGTGCAGGCGTGTATTTGTTGACTGAGGTCGGGGGTCCCCAGCATAATGCCCCTGTGAAGAAAATGGTTCCTTGAAAATGTTGGTCTTTGCAGAAAACTTTGGTTCAGGCTGCGAGCGCGGCCTAGAGAGTGTTCCCAGAGACAGTTAGAGGCACAGAGCCTCGCAAGCTGACCCTGCTTAGATAAGACACAGATGGGTGTAGGGAGGATCTGCCTTTCACCAGCTACCAATTAACATTCCAAGCAAATGAGGTCTACCTATGGATTCCACCTGAGGGAACGAGGCGGGGCAAAGTGCAGTAAGTTTTGTTTCTTTTCCCCAAGTCACCCCATAGATCACGTGCCCGGCAACAGTTATATTATCCCCTAAGGGTTGGGTTTTTTTAATAAATTCGTTTTTAAAATTTTCTCCAAAAAAGTGGGATACAGAAGGGAAGAGGGGGGAAATATAGATTCATCAAGTTTATCAAATATTATGAGTTGTTACGTATAACAAGTAAAATCAAATGTAAAAAAAAAATGTATTATCAGATGTGTTACATATTTCAAATATAGAAGCAGACAATAAAACATCAATATTACAGTGTTTTGGGATATATTCTCTCTTTAAAAGAATAAACTAGGAATAGCAATAATCAGTGTTCCCTCTAAGCTGAGTTAGTGTGAGCTAGCTCACAGTTTTTTAGCCTCCAGCTCACTCATTTTTGTCTTAGCTCAGGAAGGAGGGGGCTCCAGAGCAAACTAATTCATGCAGCAGCCAAATCTTTAATGTGAGTAGCTCACAAAGGAGAATTTTTGCTCACAAGACTCCACAGCATAGAGGGAGCATATGCGATAATCTGTCAACAGTAAAAGAGTTTACATCTTTAGCAATTAAACAAACTTCTACACTAAAATTAAATCATCCTTAAAACCTGGATAGATTGTCTTAATCGTTTGCCTAAAATCTACATTTAATTCTTGCTAAATATTTAAATGCTAGTGGGGTACAAATAAAAATATGAAAACTATAATCCATGTCTTCATCCCCTTTAATATGATATTCAGATCATTCCGAAACTTAAAAAAAAAAAAATTAGCCATTTCCATAGTATGAGTCATAAGCTTGCCATTTCTTGCTGAAATCCTTTCAGTGGTTTTGATGGGCTCAGTTTGAGACCCTTGCCCATAAGAATAGTTAGTTGCTTCTAGCTCTTTACTTTTGGCTTGATGGTGACGGTGCACCATGCAGTTACCGTTCTTCTGGCAGCCATCTTGATAGCTCACTTGGGAGGGCCGTACAGCTCACGGGCCCTGGCTAATCCTGGAGAAAAAGGGCAGCTTCGATAGTGAGACCTTCCGTCTGAGATGGATGAACACCTGTTAACTTGGAACCTTGTCTTACTGTATTAGCTAGCAATGTCACTTTTAGATTTCTTATTTCCCCTCACAGCCTTGTAGTCTTTTAAACTGGGTTTTTTTGCCCCTTAATAAAATAATTATATTGTACTCGTTGTGGGTTTTGCCTTCATTGACCTCGAATCTAATTCCAGTGTCTCGACCCAGTAACTGTTTAGGGTTTGGAAACTCCTTCTGCAGGCCTGCCCTGCAGGGTTGACTTTATTGGCAATTCCCCTGAAAGGCTGGTGTCAGGTAGCCCTGTCATAAGTCTGGAATGTGGAGGGGTGCCCTCCCGTTTTCTGTCTCGGCTATCCCTGGCTGACCAACTGTTTGCTATCTTACGCTTGACCTTGTAGATGCTCCAGCTGCAGGTTTTCTCGGCTGGGAAAGTTAACGGCTTTAGCTTTGCCTGCTTGCTTTGCCCGCCCGCGCGAGATGTATCCATTGGCTCATGCTTACAGGGGGAATGTTTGATTTTAGTATAAGTCAGAGGCCCTCCTGACAGAAGCTGTACACGTGTCTCTAGTACTGGATTTACCAATAAACAGTTAATCTTCTTATGAAGCCCTGTGTTGAGTAACCTGGCTAAGGACTAGGGGTGCCAAGTCAGAAACTTACCGGAGCGGGGGACTCCCGGCTGTTGTCTGGAGCGCACACCCGGAAGTGACGCGGGTACTCCGGGCACGCTGGGGGCGGGGCCAGGACCATCCGAGGGAAAACCTTATGGTTTTCCCTCGGATGGTCCTGGCCCCGCCCCCAGCGTGCCCGGCGTACCCGCGTCACTTCCGGGTGATGTGCACGTGGGGGTGGAGTTCCCCCCGGGGCCCGATCCGCCGATGGCGGGGAACGGGCCTCTGGGGTGGGGGTTTCCCCGCCCCCCGGGGGAACTTGGCAAGCCTAATAAGGACCCTGACAGCTGGGAGACTTGCCTGTTTGCTCTTGAGCTGTTGGGATAGACTTTAACAGGCTGTGTGTAGCCTACCTGATAAGTGTGAGGGCAGCCTCAAGCTAGGGTTTTGTAAATTTGTCTTCTTGTAAGCCCTTCCGCCCAGGAGTCCTTAGCCGGGGCTTGGTTGAGGACTTTTGACACACACCCCAACAGCTTTCCTGGTGCCCACCAAGTGTTTTTATAAAAATCGGCTGGGCCAGGTGAGGCTTCTGCCCAGCAAGGTTTCCATTGGACCACGGGAGCTTTGATCTTCACTGAATGTAAGCCGTGGCAGCCATTTTGTGACTGGCCGCACCTCCCGCGACAGCCATCTTGTTGCTGCGCACCCCTCGCGGCGTCAAAATTCCAAAGGTGCCCACGGGCTCAGAAAGTCCCGGGACCCCGGCCGTAGGTGTTTCTTCCCTGCTCTTTTCCCCACTGAGGACTCAAACGGGGAAATATAATGTGGACAAACATTTATAGCGATCGTTGGTCAAGGGGGGGTCTGTCTCAGCAAAGACCGCAGGCCATGAGGTGATTGCCGCATAGCCAATCTCCAGGGGAGCCCGGGGGCAGACACCCCTTGCCAGTTGGAGACGGGGATTCTGCCGACGTTTCCTGTCTGCTCCTAAAGGGGAATTTAAGTTGCAGAAAGCCAAGTAAAATGAGTTTCAGCCCCTGGCCTGCAGCCCTCTCCCTCACACTCCATGTCTATTTATATACATTGACTTTTATGTTATAAACAGGGGTCATTTCCTGCAGGAGCGCACAGGAGCGGAGCTCCGGCAGTAAAGAGCCCAGGGGGCGGGCACATGCAACAAGCCCCACCCCCTGCTCCCAGCAGCCCTCAGTCAGAGCA